AACCAACTCCTTTTTCCATTGCAAACCATAAATTTCTAGAAAAGCTGTACTCCTCCTGCTAAGTTTGTATCTTCATTGCTGATTCCTGCCCCTTTCCTATCTTACTACCAGTCTTCACACTGTCTTCCAGAAATGCCTTTTTCTAATATGGTGTAGTCTTAACCATTTCTTATCAGTAAAAGAATCAGACAGAGAGAAAGGGAACAGCTATAGGAAATGCATTTGCAAACTCAGGAAAATAGCACTGCATTGGTTATGTTTTGATATTGTCTTCAGAGCCATAAAAGCAAGGACATTTGCTTTTTTACCCCCCTGCAGTAGTTTAAAATACTGAAGAACTTGTCAGGTCAGCTCCAAAGTGCTGGCCAGTATGTGAAAAGGATTCAAACACCTGGTACTATGCAAAACTGCTATAGACGTACCAGAGTATTTTCAACCCCTTGAAGCCACAGCAACATCACAGGAAAAAATTGTGCTGGTTATATGCCATATTTTAATCTATATGCCATAATTTAATCTTCAAAGCTTACTAGACTGGAAAATAAATCACAGACATTGAGACTACTGATTACAATAACCAAAAGTAAATTCTGTTGTATTATGTATGAAAACAAAACAATATAAAGATGTTCCAGGAAAGAAATTAGGGGCTAGGACTTCTCATTCACTATGGTTTTAACTTCACTGGGGATAAAAGGGTATGATCTCAGCTGATTTAATGTGGTTCAAGTTAGTCCTGCCTCCCAACAGCAATGCAGTTTTCAGACTAAGAAGACCAAAAAAGAAATGAGGAAAAAAAAAATATCCTCATAACCAGATGCTATTCCCCAAAGAAGAGTGGTTGGGAATATATTTGTATGAATAGAAAGGAAAAAAAAGTGTTTCTGCTGTTTGTCTTTTTAGATAAGCATTTCTTAAACTATGCTGTACTTGAACAACTTTTCAGCCATGTTTGAAGTCAGTTCTGTAAACATGATTGTATCTCCAGCATGAGTGGTATCTGCAAGAGAAGAGGAGCAAAAGCAAGTCCTTGAGCACTTGACATGCCCAGCCCAGCAAATGCTTAGTTATTACTATGTAAGTAACCCTTTGAAATTACTGAAGAACAAACTTAACTATCTGCAGGATCAGATCACATGTGCAGTGGAGTACAATAACATAACTTTAATACAGAAGAGAGTATTTGATGATTAACTATTTAAATCACAAGTTTAATACATTTTAAATGCACCTTGTTATAATTATATACTAAGACACTAATGGCAAAAAGGAGTTGTCATTCCTTATATTCCATCTCTAGTGCCAGTTTTGCCTGTTTCTAAATTAATTCCTTACTAGCCCTCTGCTGACTACGACAGACTGTTCTTAGTAATGGTGTTGATCTGCAAGTCCAGGGTTATGCTGAAAACCAACAGAGTAATCAATGGTCATTATGCCAGCACAACAGATACCTGGCAGTAACAGAACAACCAGGAATCTACAGAAGACACAAGTACTACTGCTCATAATACTTGTTTCTGTAAGTGCCAAAAGCTAGTTAAAAATTCTTTTATCTCACCAATCTTCTCTTTGAAAGAAAAGGAAATGTGTAGTCAAGTGATAAAATAACGTGTTCCCATGTTTAACGATAGTGATGAAAACAAAACTACAATCTGTTTTTAGATATCTGGTTGCAGATGAGAAATTTTATTAACTGGAAAAATACAATAGTGTAAGATGTAGCACATTCCCCCCACCCAGAACTCCTTTGTGCAAGAGATTAAGTAGACATAAAATTAGAACCCTGAACTAGAAACACAGGAACATGCTGTTCTTTTTTTCCATCTTTTTAACCATGCTTTTAAGACACCCATTTAACATCACAAATGCTATTCCAACAGTTACATACCAACATTTGAAATGCATATTTTATTATATGCTTTTCCCTGGCTGGAAAATAATTGCAGCAGTCACAGGAGTAGTATAAATCTATGAAAAGAAACAAGGGCTGAGAAGACAAGTCTAGGTAAGAATAAGCTTCCAAGAAAAAGCAGGCAGAATAGGTACTAGAAACTTATTAGTGCCACTATTGCATTTTATGTGTGGAAATCAATAAACACCTTGTAGAGTGTCAATAAAAACTGTAAGCATAGAGAAACATCACCTTGCCAATAAAACCTTGCAGAACTCCTAACTTCAAACATGCAAATATGCTATCCTGATTAAAAACTCATAAGCACTAATCATTAGGGAAAGTGTTTGAGGAGTCATAGGATCAGAGAGCTCAAAATACACCTGATGCATCTCTAAGGAGAGAGAAAAACTAAAGCTGGGTGTTTCAGACAGTTCTAGGCATGTCCTTTAAACTTTGCTAGCACCATAAAAAAATACCACTTATAGATTAATATAATTGATCTAGTTACTTACAGAGCTAGAAAAACCAAGACGTTTTTCTGATGGATTTAGCTTTCTTGAGATCCAAGATCATCAAAGCATTAGTTTAGCCCAAGCCCAAGCACTGCGAATCAGGTTGAAGAGACCTCCAGAACCCTCTCAACAAGCAGACTGTGAGAGAAACCTGCAGCGTTCAGAAAGAAGTGACAGATATATTGATACTCAAATACATGATTTAAATTCTGGCTAAACAGATAAAACGCACTTACATTGCTCCCTCAACAATTTACCATTTTTACAGGCTTTTTTTTTTTTTTAAATAAAATCAGACACACAATCCACTTTTCTGTTTTACAAAAGAAATGCCTGCCTTGAGCTGTGAGAAACTTGCAGGTCCCCACAGCTGCTGCATGGGAAGGCCTGAGAGGGGTTATTTGTGTGCTCGTGTTCACAGCAGCAGTGTCAGAAGAGGTGCCAGTAGCCTGTGACACTGCCCCGCTCTGCAGTACAGGGAAACCACCTTTTCCTGCCAGTTCCCTGCCCGAACCGCTCGTCCTGAGATAATTTATTAACTCCTTTCGCAGCGGGGGGGTCGTTCTGAAGCCCTTCCGTGCCCCCAACCGCCCCGTCGGGGGATGCCAGGAGGGCGAAAGTCCCTCACCCCCCACCCCGGCTCGCCGCCCTCCTACCTGCTCGCCTCCCCCGGCCACCGGGGCTCCCGCAGCACCGCGTCCCTCCGCACCTGCCCTTTTTTGGGCTGCAAGCGTGCCTTTTCCGTCAAGGCAACATCACTTCCCGTAAGGGCCGAGGTAGGGGCGGGAACGGCGCTGCCTCCTGCCACTCGCTGGGCTCACGGTAACCAGGGCGGTTTTAATCAAGGAGGCTGGCTCTCCTGCCGCCCTCCTCCCCGCTCTTCCGACACACCACACGCCTTTTTAATAAAAATTCATGAGAGGCAAAACAGGTTTTGAAGAGAAAACCCGTGGTGCCAGGTAACGTGATTTCAGTGAGGCGCCTCTGCCGCCTGCCGGCTACCTCCCTCACGGGAGGAAAGCACTTCGTGCTCTCTCAGAAATAGTCTCCAAATTTCAGCAAGCTCAGTTGCACCAATTACCCCTTCTGTCTGCATCAGTCCTGACATCCTCCTTTTTGAGACTTTTCAAAATCAACTGCCACCTTTACGGGCAAACTTCCAGCAATTATGCTTACAAACGTGCCTGCTACAGTTATGCCTTTTTAAAATAGGCTTTTCATAGTCTTGTAAACACAGGAAGCTGCTGGAGTTCCCACAGCAGTTCTGTTTGCTCTCATCACTGACCTGTGGTGTTTCCAAGTGCCCAAACTAGATTTATCATACACGCGCCTGCATTCCCCGTCCAGGTTCTACTGCTGTCCTCTCCTCAGCTCCTGCGAGGTCTGCCCACTGCCTCCAGCCAGTATCACATAGTATCACATCCAGGGAAAGGATTTCTTCCCTCGTGATGTCCAAACAAGATTCTGTGTTAAAACTAAAATCTGAAAGAAGTCCCTCTCAAGATCTGCAGGTTTTAGCTTCCTTTTAGATTTACTGAAGTCTTGAAGTATCTACTGCTGAAGTTTCCCTGAGTCTCAGATGCTGTTCTCTTTTGTCAGCTATTGAAAGATTAATGCTGTCCCGCTGAGCTACATGCTGAAGCGCTTCTCCAAGTTCAAGCTGGCTTTGAGGCAACCTTATCTATTCAATAGCTGCTCCAGCCTCTTTCTGTCAGGGATGAAAGACGTGTATGTGCGTGTGTGGCCCATGGGTGTATGTTTATACGTACAGGTACAAGCCAAGGGCACCAAGCTGGGTGCAGTTCCCTCCTCAGCCATCAGTACAACTGCACTCCCCAACAGAACTGAAGTATTAAGAACTGAAACCGTGAGAAGTCGATAAAAACAATATTTATCGCTTGGAGGATCAGATCAGAGGCAATCAAAAAAACCCAACCCATACAGTGTAACCGTACAACAGCGCCTTTCTTTTTCCAGTTCCCCGGGGGTTAAACTTAGACGTGAGAACAACCACTTTAAACGTTCAGGATTTGATACAAATGTCACCATTCACGTCCCGACAGGTCGGTACCGAACACACGTCTGCAGGTACACCTTCAGCTGGCGGGTTGCTTCAGAGCGGGCCTGGTCTGCCCAGGAGGCAGGCGACGAACTCTCCCACTCGCTGAGAGGCTCGGGCGCCATTTTCTCTGCGGGGGGCGCGGAGGTCCGGGCTGCCAGGCGGTACCGGGGAACGGCGCAGCTCACACGATTCGCTTAGGGCCTCTTCTCCGGCGCGGCGTCCGCCGGCGGCCCCGCTGTGCCCTCGGGGGGCTGCGGCGGCGGCTGGAAGACGGGCCGGTAGATGTAGAGCCCACTGGCCACACCGAGCGCCACGGCCAACACCACCTGAGGCAGCGGCAGGCGCCCCAACATGGCGGCAGGCGGCGCTGCTGCACCCGCGGGCACGAGCGTCAGGCGCCGCGGGCACGAGCGTCAGGCGCCGCGGGCACGAGCGTCAGGCGCCGCGGCCGCTCCTCAGCGGCGCCTTCGCTCCCCGCCGGGGAGAGGGGAGAAGGGACGGGGGACAGAAAGCCCGGAGCTCTCCGCACCGGGAGCGCTTCGCGGCACGGCCCCGGCCACCCCTCACCTGAAGGACGGGAAACCACCGAGCGGAGACCTCCCGTTCGCTAGAGCGACCGGAAGGAAGTGCCGGCGGTGTCCCCGCCCCCGCGGATGGAGGCGGCCGGCGGGCTGCTGGCGCGGGTCCGGGCGCGGAGGCCGGCGGCGGTGCGGCTCCGCAAGCGGCGGTCGGTGCTGTACAGCGACCCCGGACAGCGGGGCGCCGGTAAGCGGGGAGAGGTGGGGTGGGGCGGGGCAGGGCGGCGGCCCTCGGAGGGGCCCTGGACGGACTGCCTTCCCTTCCCTCCCGCAGGGGGCGCCGGCGGGCCGGCCGCGCTGCTGGCGCTGACGGTGGGGCTGCGGACGCTCAATTGCTTCCTCGTCCAGACCAGCTTCGTGCCGGACGAGTACTGGCAGTCGCTGGAGGTGGCGCATCGCATGGCCTTCAGATATCCTTCCCTCGGCCCTCACGGCCGAGGCTTGCGGCGGGCCCGGGAGAGGGAACACGGCACCGCTTCGTACCGGCGCCACCGGGGGTCGCGGTCAGGGGCGGGGGGAGCGTTCCGCGGCGGTACGGCACTGGCCTGGCCAGTCACAGAAATACCCCCCCCGGCTTTTGGCCGCAAGGGTAAATGTCTAAGAGTAACAGGACTCGAATGAAACGTCCCGTTTGGGTTGTTCATGATCGATCCTTAATATTAGTAATTATGGCTACCTGACTTGGGAATGGGCAAGCGGCTTAAGGGGCTACTCGTACCCGCTCATCTTTGCGAGCATCTACAAAGCTCTGCAGCTGCTGGCTAAGGATGACGTCCAGCTGCTGGTGAGTATAATCAAAAGAACGCATCTGCTTCTTACACTGAATTTAAATACAATGCTTTTAAATGGAATTTATCATTGTCTGGGTAAAATACAAAGGCTTGAACCTGGCAATTAGAGATGTATGAGCTCGGGGACCTCTGAAGTGTTTCACACTGGTGCAGAACTCGATGGATCTCCCATCACAGTACTGATGCCTGTGACTGTGGAGGACTTCTCTTGGCCTCCGTCAGTCTCGAGTTTCATACTGATATTGTTTGACACTAAGTCATAAACCCTCAGTGGTTCAGTTTTCCAAAGTGTTTAATAATGTATATTTGTACTAAACTCAGTAACAGCAGCCCCTTTTGACTGCTATTGGAGATGAATGGCAAAGAATCCCACTTTCAATTTCTGAATAATTTCAGTTGAACTTCAGAGTTTCTTTGTTTAGGCAGAAATATCAGTCCTAGCAAAGGACCTTATTATTTGTATTACAAAAATCATTAAACAAGCTAAAGAATATTCACTAACTCACTTACTATTTTCGTGTCTGACCAGTCATCCACTAAATCAGTAGTTCTCTCATTGAACTTGGAATTTAGCAGGTTTGTTGCAAGTGACATTTTCTCTGCTTATCCAGATATGGGTCCCTAGACTTGCACAGGCCGTGCTGGCAGCTTTTGCTGATGTGAAGCTTTACTCATTAGTGCGACACCTTGAAAATGCAGAAACAGCAAAGTGTGTGGTGAGTGTCAGCCTTTAAAAAAATTCTATGCACAGTAATGATAGTAAGTCACACCTTGAAGAATTATCACCATTTAAAACTACAGAATTTGTTTTAACATTTCTCCTTTTGCATCCTGTTTTTCATAATTATTTTCAGTACTTCTGCCAGCTGTGTTCCTGGTTTACATGGTATTCCTGTACCAGAACTCTAACAAACACCATGGAAACTCTTCTTACCATTTTTGCTCTTTCCTACTATCCGATAAAAGGTTCCAAGATGGGGAGCAGGTGAGAAACTTTGTACTAACAGTACTGATAATTTTTGGCTTGGGATAACACCAATCTACTGATACTGTTTAAAATACTAACTTCTCCCTTAAGATACAGGGAATCAAACCCCCTCATTCATGTAGTAAGAGCTGCAGATCTTGGACGGAACAGCACTGTGGTATTTCCTTTAAAATGTATCTCCAGTTCCCTTGCGCAAAGTATCACTTTATGGGAAACTTTAATTTAAACTTTAAAGGACTGGAGTTTGTGGTAATGAGAAAAGATAACAAAAGCTTGTTTGGGTTTATATATGGGTGAACTTGTAGTCACAACTTTTTTTACTGGCTATCTATTTTAAAGCAAATATGTGCTTCTAGTTAGCAACCCCATTGCTAAGAAAAGCAATTACATATTTGGCAACTTTCCAGTGAGAGGATCAAAGCTATCCACAGTATGAAAAAACTTTTTATCAGAGATATGACAGTATTTAAATTGTTGAAATGTCACTGTCTGCAAAAGAATAGATCAAACCTTTTGATAAACTTCCATTTTTCTTATGTTCCCTCATTTCAGTTGCAAATATTTAACTCTGATAGCACTTGCAATTGTTATTCGTCCCACCGCTGTTATCCCATGGATACCTTTGCTCTTCAGTCATTTTTTGCAAGAACAAAGGAAAGCAGACCTTATCCTACACAACTGCATTCCAGTTGGGTAAGTTCTTTCTGAATTTAACTATGAATGTGCGTAGCTCAATCTTAAGATGGCAGACAACCCAGAAAAGCTGACTTGATGTAAAAAACAAGCAAAAAATAAAGTCCTTTTACAAAAGTTTAAAGAAGGGGCGTGCTTCCTTTAAATTAATGTATATGCTGCAGAAAAGCACTAGGAAAGGATGAGACATGAACAGCATTCCAGCTTAATCTGGGATTGTGCCAAGGAGACCAGGTGATGATAACTGGCCACTGTAAAATGGCTAAGAGTATGGATAATATCAATAAAAAAATAAATCAAGAATAACTATTCAGGGAGTTTTGACAGCTATTTGAAGAAGCGTAGAATCTGATACAGAAGTAATTCAGGCAATATTGGCGCAACCAACTTTCCATTTTTGCAGATTGGTCACAGTAGGAACTTCTTTAATTATTGACCGTGTGTTTTTTGGAAAGGTAAGTTGCTTTAAACTTAACTTTAAAAGGTTGATTTTTAGCATTTTAATATGGACAGATATTTCTAATTTCTGTCTAGTTCTGTGACTGTGTCTGGCCTACGATCTCTTAACTAAATTCTCAGCCACAAATTCTTAAACACTGACTTTGTGGTTGTTTTCAATGACAGACTGTTACTTAAAATCAGTATGCTTAGCTCTCAATCAGTAGTTATCAACAAACCACAAAACTTACAGACTTCTGTTTAATTGCTCAATATAGGAAATCTGTGATGACTTAGTAGAAAAAAGTAAGTATGAATGAAGATGCTGTATCATTTAAGGCCAATCATGACTCTGTAATTCACTCTAGCTGTTGGTTTTCACTTTGAATTTGTTTTTAACTTTTTCTTCCTCCCTACCCTAAATTTCCCAGTGGGTACTTGTTCAGCTGAACTTCTTGAAATTCAACGTACTGCAGAATTTGGGAACATTTTATGGATCTCATCCTTGGCACTGGTACTTCACTCAGGGACTACCAGTCATCTTGGGTACCCATCTCCCTTTCTTTATTCATGGCTGTGTGGTGGCACCAAAAAGGTATCGCATCTTTCTAGTGACAGTGATTTGGACAGTGTTGGTATACAGGTAATTTCTCCTAAGTATAACTACTATCTTTCACTGATGGTGTTGTTTTTAAAGGTCATATCCTTTCTAGAACAAAAAAGCATAGTATTCAAGTTAAGTGATAGAAAACTTTAAGCTATTCAAATACAGTCAATTACACAATAGTTTCTAGAATTTTATGTAATACTTCTTGAATCGTTACCAAACATGTATTTTTAGAATTGATTAGACCCTTAACGAATAAAATAATTCAGCATGAAATTCAATGGAAAATGAACAAACTCCAAACACTCAATCACCTAACATGTTTAAGCAACAACAGAACTAGTTAGAAAACCATATTTACTGGATGCCCGTTAATGAAAATACTATTTCATTTGGTTCTTCAATACATCCACAGTAAGACGAGAGGTTCTTAGGCCTCTAAGACTTACTCCACTCACAAGTCTACACATAGCTCTTAATATTTATCGTAGGACTGTATGTCTGATTTTAAGTTGAGAAGTAGAAGTCTGATTTTAAGTTGAGATGGTAAGCTGTTTCTAAAGCATCAGAATTAACTGTAAATTAAACAGAAGACACTTTCAGGCAAGAAAAGATACAGCAAATTAATAAGTATGAAGTAATAAATGGCATTGGACTACAGTAGTAATAAAACACATCAAAACAGTAGTGAGTCCACAAATGCCATCTCTTCTTTCAGTCAAACTGAAAACTGGATGTAGCTCTACTGGTTTTAGGACTTTTTTGTCTCCCTTAGTCTTGTAATTCCCATGAATTGCTTGATTCCCATGAAACAAGCCTCACAGTAATCCCCCAAAAAGACCCAAAAGTTGGCATGGAAAATTGTGTACAGTTGTACTAGCAAAGGTGAATGTTACTTTGTTAGATACAAACATGTACTTGAATCTTAGCTTAACATCTTTTTTATTGCTATTATAACAGAAAGCAAATTGGTGAAGTACTACCTAAGTGATTTTTAGTAGTCATAGAATCAGACCACTTAATTGGTATAGTAGCCAGGTACTTTTATTAGTGATTGGCTTAAACTGACCAAATAATCTTAATTTGCATGTACTCATTATATTTATAAAGTGAGATTTTGCATTTTTACTCTAAAATACTTAATGCCAAAAGCTTTCTAGTACATGCATGTGCTTTTCTTCCAGCCCTCCATGCTCTCAAACATACTTTGTCAACAGAACTGATGCATTTAACTTTCTCGCTGTAGTATTCTGTCTGTTTTATTGCAGCACACTGAGCCATAAAGAGTTCAGGTTCATCTATCCAGTACTACCATTTTGCATGGTTTTTTGTGGTAAGCATCAATTTCAAATGCCTTGCAACCTTCCCTGTATATAATTTTTACCTAAAGAAAGACTGTTAATAGCCAATGTAGATATTTGACAAAGGATTCTTAACACTAACCTAACTTTTTCTCACAGCTAGGGGAAAGAAAGAAAAAAAAGCCCAGCAAATTAGAGAAGCACATATGGAAAATCCTTAGTGTAGGTAAAAGTACTTCCTGCAAAACAATATGAAAATTGCCTCAGTGACTCCTAATTTTTAGCAATGCAACCCTTACAGTGAATTTTGTTCCTTGGCTCCTTTGTAGTATATTTCCACCTGCTTCTCTCAAACATGCCTGACAAATGCCTTTGAGTATGCAACAAAAAAACCCTGAAGTATTCAAAGCCTAAAATTATCCTTTTGTAGGTTCACGTGTGTTTGTTAGCATATGATGCTGCTAGTTTTCTGTCTGCACTTGACCAACCACGAGCTGGAGGTTACTTCCCACAGAAGTTTTAGATCAGTTGACGTGATAACTTTATCCTTTTCTAAGGTGAATTTGTTAGAACAGGAATAAGGTCCCTAAACTAACGTGGTTAGCTTAAAAATTAAAGAGAATCCATCCACAATTTAAACCAGATAGCATATTGCTTTTGATAACTTAAGTATCAGAAAAATCTTACGCAGAAACTTTTAAAGTATTCATTCATCTTTTTTTCCCTGTTTTGTGGGGTATTGTTGTTGTTTTTTTCTTTTAAACACAGAAAAGAGCCCAATAAGGAAGAACTTTATATTTTACAAATCTAGGTATTAACTCCACTAGTGTATCTACAGGAAAAGTAAAACGGCGTAAAGTCTAGTATGCTGAAAAGTTACAAACAAAAGAATAAAACTTCTGGAACGTGAAGCTGTATAGCTTTAGTTTAAATGCAAGTTCAAAACAGACAAATCAACAGAAATTGGGATTTTCTTTGACCTATTTTGCTGATCTAAAGAAGAGTAGGAATCTCAATAATTTTGCTCTCTGCTAAGATCAAATATGTAGTATGTCTTGGCTTAGTTTAGTAGCACATTTAAGTTGAACCAGTTCTACCTCACAAGCAGAAAAATTCCAAACAGACCACTATTTTTTGTTACGATCCCTCTAAACATTCATGTCTATAACGGAATGAGCCCATCTGAATTTATCAAGAGCTAATTATCATGTTTGGATACTTCAGTAAAAAGAATTAACAAAAGTTATTTCTCAGAACTCAGTGGTTACAAAGTTGTCTTTAAAGTGCTCAAAATACTATAAATAAAAAAAGAAAAAACCACATGAATTTCAAAGTTATTTCCAAGCACACTTAAAGGTAAACTAAGAGTGTCTCACAAAAGCAGTAAAAAAAAATATGCCTATAATAGAATGTTTCCACTCATGTTTAAACCACACTAATTAGTGGACTTTTTCATCTGAGATAAAGATATGCAATTTGTCAGAACAGACTAACTGAAGACTAATGTAACTTACTTGTTACTCACTTCTGAAACAGGCCTATTCTGACTTGTTTCTTGTCAGTCAGGAAAGGTGGTCACAGAACTAGGCTGCATAAAATATTTTAATCTCCTAATACGGAGAAGCACGTGACTTAATATGGGTTTCCAGACTGGTTGCAACGTGAAGCTGTCTTCTGTGCCAGGTTCATCTAAGTTGTGGTTGTGAGAAGCAGGTTTATACAGCTATTTCCACCAGTAGAAATGCCTCTTTCTATTCTTAGCTCCTTCAGGAAGGGCAGGGATGGGAAAAGATGGAGGAGTAAGCTTTTCCAAGGATAGCAGCTCAAAAATGACTAACAATAAGAGAATGCTGTAGCTTTCAGCATGTTGGAGAAAAAGAATACCACAGCCATACCACAGCACACGTAGTTACCATTTATTCTGGCTCTACTTGGACATGCGTAAATCAGAACACATCAGTAAGTCGCCACATATCATTCATCCAAACTACTGAATGGGCTATTTTTCTCTCACAAGAGATTAAAATCAAGCTCTAAAGAGACAAAGCACTGGCTTTGAAATCAAACTTCTGTACTTCAAAAGACAGGTATGGGCTTAACATCTATTGCTAAATCCAAGAGTTACTAAGGGCAAAGTCTAACCTTTGAATTTCCATTTAAAGAGTAAAGACTGAAAGAACGTTTTATTAAAATACCTCAAAGCAATATTGTTATCAACCAAGTAGTGGTTTTCCACTAAGTTATGTTACTTTCAAAAATACTATGTGGAACAGTTAGTATTTGTTTATCTCCAAAACTTACTCAAATGTTTCTCTAGGATATTCTTTGAAACACCTGAAAGCATGGAAGAAATCTGCAGCAACTTTCCTGCTTTTATCAAATGTAGTCCCAGCCCTGTACACAGGCTTGATTCACCAGCGAGGCTCCCTTGATGTTATGAGTCACGTACAGCAACTCTGTAGTAACTCTTACCAGTCACAAGCACACGTCTTCTTCATGATGCCATGCCACTCTACTCCATTTTACAGGTATTAAAATAGTTAACAGTGTATTACATTAAAATCCATACACTTAAGCAGAAATTCTTTTTTTTTCCTAAGCTTCATAAATCGAGATGGATAGATGGATACAGGAAGAGTTTTGATTTTTCACACAGTTAATACAGAATGAATAGGGGAAATAAGCCAAATGGTTATACCACAGAATAAAAATCAGCATCTAAGCTTTATTCAGTTTTTGTAAAATAGCTTTGTATGAGGATATGCAGTAAGTCTTATGACTTTTGAAAAGTAATTCATGCTGCCTCATTGTGGTAACTTTTCTAGCAAAACTAAAGCCTAATTGTTACAGTCAAAATGTCTCAATTTTACCTTTACTTCTGCCGCTAGAGAGTAAAGACATGTAATTGCAACATACAATGCCTGAAGTCACTGTTCCAAAAAGTTTGCAATAGATCCTGGTAAGTAAACAAAACGTTAAAGCAGATATAAACAGTGAAGCTGATATGGAAAAGTACCTTTTTAATAAACTGATGTTATGCAGATGGTGTTTTTATTAAGATAAATCTGCTTTCTGTGAACTGCTAACAACATAGTCACAGCAGTCTGGAGCCGAATCCACTTTCGCTTTCATATGAAGTACAGAAGGGAAGAAAATACAACTGGGGGAAAAAAGTAATTATTCAATCTTGGTTTTATCTGAGGTATCTTTAAGTGATGAGTCATTTCAAATCTTAGATATTGGTCAATTTATCCTGAAGTGTTTGTTTTGTTTTTCTCCCTAGTCATGTTCACTGTCCTCTAAAAATGAGATTCCTTCAGTGTCCCCCAGACCTAACCGGAAATCAGAGCTATATTGATGAAGCAGATGTATTTTACTCTAACCCACTTGGCTGGCTTAATAAGGAGTTTTACAATGATACGTTATTACCCAGTCATTTGATCTTCTTCAGTGTGCTAGAACAGGTATGGTAACTGCAAGATGAAACAAACTGGTTTGAGGCCAAGTTACAGTTAAGATTTTTGAAATTTTTTGTCAACAACTTTTTTAAATGCAGCGTAAATGAAAATTGAACCTTCTGGTCCATAACACAGTACAGATACTGTTGCATTGATATACACTTAACTCTCACGTATGCCCTCTCCTCTGTGCAAATTCTACATGCCATAAAGTAATGTTTTATGAATTCTCCTCACATCATATTTAAATGTGCGGTCTGTGCCTAGGACCATGCACCTGTTAACAACGACAAGCAAAAATGCCTGCAGCCAGAGTACCTTTTCCCCCCAATTCTTCTATGAAGTCCAGGTACTCAAACAACAGTCTCCGGTGAATATCCACTCCAGACAGGATCAAACCGGATAGGCACCTCTTTTTCTAGCAGTCTTTCCTAAAATAAAGGATAAAACTCCCAGGGGAAAGTTGAATTGATGGTTTTCGGAAGACTTTGGAACACTGTTCTGATACTCCCAACTACACTTTCTGACTGTGGAAACTAATGTATGTTCATTTACAGGAAATATCATCATTTCTAGCTTTAAGGGGCTATGAGAAAACAGCCACTGTCTTTCACACTCATGTACCTCAAGGACGAGTTGGAAGCCACATCTACGTCTACAGGAAAAAAAACTGAAATGAATCATACCTGAAGATCAGTTTCTAGACTTAAGACCTAACGAGATCAGTTTTGCTTAGCAGTACTATGCTTAGATCATCTTGTACTGCAGACAGGAGAGAGTAGTGAGTCTGAAACCGGGTAAGTTAAATGGGGAAGGCTGATTTTGCAGCCACTGGCTCTCTGGAAACATCTCAACCTCTTCCTGAAGGCAACTTCAGTAGCAGTATGGCCGGGTGGGGGGTGCTTACCTACCTTATAACACTAGAAAAACATCAGGAAGACCAAAGTTACCACATGACTATTTAAACAATAAGAAATTAGACAAGAGTGGACCATTTTTATAGAACTGTACAGCTATGCCAGGTTTGTTTCATAAATAAAGACTTTTACCCACAATGTCTCTTTATTTTTCTTCTACAATATGCAGATATGCAAGACATTTCAAGTGCTTAAATCAGCAAGCTGATTAGAATGCAGCACAGCAAATTCTTCACAATTTAACAGGCTCTTGAACCTCCCCCCCTCCAAAAGACAAGAAGCAAGTGTAAAATTACAAAACACTAGCAAATACATTACCATAATGTAGACCTATTTTTTGAAGGATGAGATGAAGTTAGTATATCAAACATTGGAGTTAATTATTGGTACATTATGCATGACTCAAGCTTGAACTACACTAACGGAATGCAATGAAGCATATTTTTCATACAGGAGTCATTGCATGCCTAGTTTCTGCAACAATACTGCTGGCACCCAAACTACCATCATTTCCAAAGAACACTTAAAGCAACAGTACAGAATATGCAAATTAGAAAGCTTGACTTCTGCCTTTTAACAAAAACGTGTAAAAATCAAATTAGAGAAAAAACTTGCATCTTGCTGCTTGGTTGAAAAAAATTAGTTTCCAGAGATGATTTGAATTATTAATTCGAATCTTATTTTTACCATATATTACTCAATATTTTGGATCAAAGGGTAATTGCCCCAACTCTATTTCAAGATTTGCCATGTATCTTCCATTAGTGCGACCATGTTTATGCCATTTACCTTCTCTTTTATTACGGTGGTGGTACTTCTGAGCTTGTTTTTCATGTCTGGAATTTTCAGTTTGTGTAAAAGAAGGCCTTTTAGGTCGACTGCAAGGAGTAAACAAAAGCTTATTACTACTCTTACGAAAACATCTCTAAAAGCATCTTGAAACACAATCACATTGTCAAGAACAGTTTTTAACATGCTGAGGCTGACTGAAAAGAAAACAAAATTAATATTAAAAAGTAGCCCTTTCTCATGTAAGCCAAATGGGCATAGGGCTTATTTGTTTAAATCATCAGTAAGTTGGTATATCTGAAATAAATCCTTTCTAAAAATAAAAACACTCTGCAGCTGGTTGCCCAAAGTTCTTTTTGGAATAAAACTAGGTCAACATCTGTTTGATTATCCCTACTGTGATGCTTGAGCAAGGTCTCAATCTATTTTTCAGTTATTCTATTATATTCTGCTCTATAAAAATAGTGAAAAGTTTACAGACCCTTAGGAAAGCATGCTTTGTGTTATAGGCACTTCAGCAATTTTCATGTACAGTAAGTTCATTTACACAAAGAGAGGGGGCACTGACAAGTCACTGTTGCTCACCTGTTGCAGTTTTTGATGCAAACAGTCCCATTATATTACATGCTGTTACCATGTGACTAGCGTCTCTACCCTTTTGCTAAGCTAAGGTTATTTTCATCCTCAGTATCATACAAACTTCTGTATAAAGCTATCAGTAAATGAATTTGAAATTCTGTTTTTCTGCAAACAGAACTAAAGTGCCCAAAAATTCAGTATTTAAATTAATGAGATAAAAACATAAAATTATGCGTTTGCCAAAACTACACATTAAAAAGGCTGCTTGGTAGCTGGTAATAGGAACATTGGTTCAACTTCTGATAAGAGAAAGTACTACCTCACAAAATACTTAGTAACCCCAAAGTAGTTAAGTATTCAGACTTCCTGCTGCAATAAAACACATTAAATAATAAACAACAGAAGTCCAAAACAGAAACCTGATGAAGAAGAACTGGACCTTGATCTAAATATTATGCTTTGCACTGAATACCAGCACAGGGAAAAGCTCTGTTACATCTACAAGGACAACTTCTTCTGTACTATAAATTAGCTAATATATCACATTTTTTCTTACCTGATCAGAATAAACATTAGAGACTATGTAGTTGATTTTGTAATAGTAATGATATAAAAGCCACATAAAACGTATACATAAGTGTTCCAGAAAGAGCAAGTTCCACACAATATATTAAGGCTCCTTGCTTAATTTTCTTTCACCAAAGTCTATGTGGTGGAAACAGTCCACCATATATCTAGCTCCATTGGGCCAGGCAGGCAGCAGACCTCAGCTGCTCTGTAGAAGCCCTGAGAATATCAGTAGATACAGGAAAAGCCAACTGAAAAGCCAGCACGGAATATACCTGCCAGAACAGGACTTTTGAGACTGCTCAAATATATTCAAAAACCTTCTTATTCAGGGAAGGACAACAAGGAAGTCCTAGGTAGTGCTTCTCCTGAACTAGTTACTCATTCCATCAGCTAGGCAATCATAGCTGCTCAGTCTAACACAATCCTACTTGTAGTTACAGAGTTTTCTATAGAACTCAGTAGAAATATTAAATTGGGCTAAGTACAGTAGATCTGCAGTGCCTCCTAAACTAAGATCATACACAAAATTTATATATAAAGGTACTACAGATCCTCTTTATATAACACAATCTAGTATTTCTGTTGAGTCATTCAGAAGGTCTTTTAGTGTGGATATATGTATATACACATACATGCTAGAAGATCACCTGTTAGAACAAGGACACTAGTTGTCTTTACAAAGACTACTTCATTCTGTTAACAAGTTCAGGAAACATGGAAACAAACCTGGGTCCATATTGGGGTAAATTATCATAATGAAAGTAGTATCTGTAGATGTATTTGTCCAAATCGTCAAAAACCTTTTCATTATTATTTTGGTATTCCTTCATATCTTCCAGGTAATCCTTGACATCGTTAACAAAGTCAGTGAACAGCATCTGGTCATGTATAAATACCCCATTATGAAAAAACTTATTGATGAAACTTTCTAGTTCTCTCCAGTGATGAAAGTTATGTACAACTTGTTGCAAATACTTTTTCATTAGCCGATTAAATTCATCTACCCTGATAGGATCCGATACTCTGTTAAAGAGACTAATGAATTCTTGATGAGCACACTCAAAAATACCAGAGCAGCCCTTTAGGACAAACTGATGCTTTCTATTACACAAAGGATCATTGAGACATTTCTGTGAATCTGTATCTTTTTCAAATGTTGTAAACTGATGTTTTCTTCCATCTCTGAATTCTTTTGGCATGTTAGGTCCCCTGTAATGCATGTGCTTCAGATTTTCATAGGAGTTATGTTCTCGGTAAAAGGTTCGAGCTTTCTTGTTTGCCTCATGTCTTTTATCATTTGACTTCTTCTCATCAAAGATGTTTTTTGTGGTATCTTTGAAGTGTCTGAATGTAGACTTTACAGAATCAGAGAATTTTTTCAGGTTTTCTTTCACTGCTTCTTTAGCCTGCTTAATCTTTTCTTTGTGGTGTCTTACAAACTCTTTCGTGGAATTTTTCATAGCATCAAATGTTTCTTTAACTGAACCAAAAAATGATTCCTTTGATTTCTTTTTAGTCTTATTTTGCCCTTTAGGACCTTTCTTTTGTCCCTTTTCACTCATTTCTTGTTTTTCAGTTTGGTCTTTTGCTTCAACATACAGCTTCTCCCATAAATCAGAGCGCTGTTGCTCGAAGTTCAGCTTTTTTTCTAGTTCTACTAGTCTTCCTCGCAGAATTTCTATTTCTTCATTTTCTCTTAATGTATCATCATCAGCACTGTCAGGTGTTTGACGAGAGCTTAACTGTTCCAGTTCTTTTTTTAGAGCTTCTGTAATGTGACGTTCTTTGTCCAGTTCTCTCCTTAACATCTGTGCCTCTGCAAAAAGTGTTTCCTTTTGCTTAAGAAAGTTGTGGTTTCTTTGCTTTTCCTCTTCCAAATGTTCCCGTAGTTTCTGATTTTCCATTACAATAGACTCAGTGCTAGTACCTTTATCTTCTAAGTTTCTGATTTGTTGTCTTAGCTTTCTTAATTCTTCCTGAAGTGAGGCCAAAGCTTTTTCTTCCTTCTCTAGAGATTCTCTTAAGTGCTGATTTTCTGCAGCAAGACTTTTTTTTTGAGATTCAAAGGATTTCTTCTCCACCTCAGTAGAGGTCAAACATGTGGGAAGATCTCCCTTGAGTGACTAATACAAACAAAAAGAAAACAAGCAAAAACACTTCAATTAGAACTGTTACAATTTCAGCTAGAAAGATGAAAGGCCACAGTAGCCCAGACAGTGTTTACTTATAATTTTGGATACAGTGAAACACATTGCAGCAAGATACAAAAATAGCGCTAGTTTGTTTATCTTGGATATACAAACAAACACTTTCTTGGCAACAAAGACCACGTGAGAGGCTCTCCATTCCAACCACAGATCATCACCCCTCGCTTATATTGGTTTCAGTAGCTGAAGGACAGCAAACCGGGTATGTGAATTGATCCATCTTAAAAGAAAGTTAAAACATCTGTGTTTACTGTTGATTGCATTCAGCAAACTGGGTTTAGAGGTTGCAAACCCAGAAGCAAGGGGATTCAACAGCTGGGGCAGAAAGTGAGGAACTGATTCTGAACCAAATTTGCTCCTGAAAATACATGTTCATGTAACTATATCCTAAGACAAAAGGATCACCACAGTCTCTTGGCATCCCTGACAAACTCTAGAACCAAACCTATTGAATTATGTTTAAATGCTGCTATCAGCAACATAAAAGAAAACTAAAAAAAAAGGAACTTGTAGGTTACCAGCATGTTCTACTTTAGCTGCCTTCATTAATGATAACCTGGCATTATGTCACAGGGAAAGAAACAGTCTCTGTGTCCACCTAACTCCTAGACTATACACATAAAACCCAGTATGTTTAAACGCATTCTAATAACAAATTTGATAAAAATACAAAATCTTTGTCAAGAATTCAGGGAAAGAAAAATTACATTCTCAGAAATAACTTCCTAAAGAAAAAAATGTAATGGATCTGTGAGAGAATTTAATCTCACTTCGTGTAAATTGCACACATAATGACACAATAACCCAATGACTTCCAGCTAAATTAATACCTACCCCCACTTTATGATTCACGCTTTCTCCTTGCTCTTGTTGGCACTGGTAAAGGTCATCTTTCATATCCTTTAATTCACGTGTCTTTGTCACCAGCTGCTGACGTTTCTGGACCTGTATTGTACCTACAAAGATAAAAAGTTTCTTTTGATAGTCCGACTT